TCTATCTATCTATCTATCTATCTATCTATCTATCTATCTATCTATCTATATTATTTATTTGTTCATTTATTTACTTATTATATCAGTTATATTTTCCAATATATTTCTCCCTTTTCCTCCCTTATTAACAAAAATAAATAAATAAATCGAAAAAGATACCTCCCCATTTTAAAACAAAACAAAACATAGTTCAGTAAAACTAACCAATTCATCAACAAAGATTGAAGTCAAAATTTTGCATTCCATACCCATAGTCCCCCACCTCTACAAAAAAAGGAGTGGGGTGGGGGGAAGAGAGGTACATTTTCTTATCTCATCTTTGGGGCCAATTTTGGTCATTATAATTTCATAGCATTCAACTTTGATTGTTTTGTTCTTGTAGTTTTTCTTCGTATATTGTTGTAGTCATGATATATAATTATATGCTATATGTGTACATGTATATATGTGAATGTGCACACATACACACATATATGCAACCATGTGTGTATATGCATGTATATACATATACATACACACATACATATATACATACACACATGTATATGGATATATGAAATTTCCCCTCTGGTTCCTGGTTCCATGGCAGCAAGTGGAAAGATGAAGACTGACTAGTATATAAGGAAGGATTTTCTCATTGGTTGGAAAATAACCCCATTTGGAATGTTAATGTCACTCAGAGGAACTTTTAGGTGCTTAGGTGTCACAGTTAATAGAGAGCTGGACCCGGAGTCAAGAAAGCCTCAGTTCAAATTTAGCCTCAGATACTTACTAGCTGTTTGATCCTAGGCAAGTCATTTGCCTCCTGTTTGCCTCAGTTTCCCCATCTGTAAAATGGGGGCAATAATAGCACCCACTTCCCAGAGCTGTTGTGAGGATAGAATGAGTTAATATTTGTAAAGCCCTTAGCATAGTGCCTGTGACATTGTAAGTGCCATATAAATATTAGCTATTATCATTAAGCAAATCCCACTCCCCTCATTACTCAGCCAATGTGGAAAAATACACTATGTTTCCACAAGCGTAGCTGGGTCAAATGGGAGAGAGACATTTCGTCTATAATCTGGCCACATATTTTTCTCATAATATGGGGCTCCTGCCTGCATGTGCTACTAAAACTGACTCCTTTGCATTGGATACCTAGCATCAGGTTGGTTTTATAACTCGGGAAGGTCCCTGGTTCAAGGGTTATAGATGCCAAGTTAAAAAAAAAAATTGGTGAGTACAGTTTTGTCCAGAAATGTTGTCCTTTGTTCTTTCTTCCTTCTGCACTGACGCTTCCTAAGCCATTGAGAGCTCACTGTCGGGTACTAGTACCTTGATGCTGGAGACACACAGGAACATTGGGGCTGCTAAGACCAAGTCATAAGTTTCATAAGTTTGGGGCATCACTTCTCCATCCTGCTTCCTAGACCAAAGAATGACTCTCTCCCCTCTATATGATCACCTTACTTGGTTTCACCCAGTAGTCATGCTGTTTCTGCACTTCTTTCTTCCTTTTTGAATAAGTTTTTATTGATGTCTTTTGCCTTTTACATCATCATAGCCATCCTCCGTATCCTTCTCCCTTTCCTTCCTCCCGGAGAGTCATTCTATATAACAAATAGTATTTTTAAAGGAAAAAAGAGGAAAAAAATCAGCCCAACTGATAGATACACTGAAAAAAGTCTGAAAGCATGCAGTGTGTTGCATGCACCTGTGGACCTCCCACCTCCACAAAGGGGTAGGGTGGGGACTTCTTCTCATGTGATCTTTGTATTTTGTTACATTCACTTTTGATTTGTTTGTGGGTATGGTTGTTCTTTCCAATTACATTGTTGCAGTTGCTGTATATGTTGTTTTCTTGTCTCTGCTGATCTCACTGCATCAGTTCACATAGGTCTTTCCATGCTTCTCTGTATTCATCACTTCTATCATTTTTTACAGCAGAGTAATATTCCATTATATTTACACGTCACAATTTGTTTAATTATTCTCCTTTTGATGGCCATCTACTCTGTTCTCCATCCTGCCCCCCCCAATAATAGCTGACAATTATTTAGTGCTTTCCAGTTTGTGAAGCACTTTACATCCATTATCTCATTTGAGCCTAGCGACAATCTATTAGGTTTATATTCCTATTCCCATTTTATAGATGGGGAAACGAGGCACTGAGAAGTTAAGTCAGTCACGCATGGTCACATAGTTAAGTATCACAGGTGAGATTTAACTCAGGTTTTCCTAATTCCACATCTGGCACTTTTTATCTATTACACTGTGAAGGTCACTTCTAGCTCTAAGATCTTAAGACACGAGTGACTATTGTAATCTAAAACATCAATATTCAACAAAGAATAAAGACATAGGCCAAAGGAATAAAATCATGACCCTAGAATTTCAGGTATTCACGTGAAGGTGAGAGAAGTGTCAAGGGGGAGAGGATAGTTTGAGTGGTGCCTTCCCAGAAACTGGTGAAGGCACATTGGTAAACAGCAACCAGCTCTACTCACTCTTAAGATGGTTCCTATTCTAAGCAATAGAATAGCTAGCTTCAATATCAGTCGGTCAATTAGCATTTATTAAGCTTGCAGACCACTATACCCTCCTAGATATCACCATGGCACCCAGATGTTTTCTCCAGGAACCTTAGGCTAAGGGACAGAAAGAACAATTATTTGTGGATGCCGGAAAACTGATCAACATTTAATCAGTCAATAAAGATGTGCAAAATGTCTGTGCTATACACTGGGATTACAAAGAAAGGCAGCTCACCATCTACTAAGGGAGAAAACACATCAACAACTAGTACAAATATGATATGTACAGGATAATTTGAAGATGATGACCAGAGAAAAGGTACTAGAATTAAGGGAGATTCGGAAAGGCTTTTTGCAGAAGATAAGATTTTAGCTGGGATTTGAGGGAATTCAGGAAGTGGAGGAGAGAAGGGAGAGAGTTCCAGGCATTGGGGGTAGCCAATGAAAATGCCCAGAGCAGGGACATGGAGTGTCTTGTGCAAGGAACAGCAAGGAGGCCAGTGCCACTAGATCATAGAGTAGGTGGAGGGGAGAAAGGTATAAGAAGATTGGAAAGGGGCAGCTAGGTGGCTCAGTGGATAAAGTGCTGGGCATGGAGTCAGAAGGATCTGAATTCAAATCTGACCTCAGACACTTACTAGCTATGTGACCCTGGGCAAATCACTTAACCTCGATTGCCTCCAAGACAATAATAATAAGATTGGAAAGATGGGAAGGGGCCAGGTTATGAAAGGCTTTAAAAGCCCAACAGAGAATTTATTATTTGATTCTGGAGGCAATAGGGAGCCACTGGGATTGATTAAATGGTGGGGAGAAGTGACATGGTTAGATCTGCACTTTAGGAAGATCAATTTGACAGCCGAGTGATGGATGGACTAGAGTGAGGAAAGGTGAGTTAGGAAGACCTACCAGTAGGCTATTTCAATAGTCCAGAAGGGAGGTGATTAGGGCCCACGTCACGGAGGTGGCAGTGTCTGAGGAGAGAAAGGGAGCCGAAAGACATTATGAAGATAGAAAAGACAGGACGTGACAAATGATTGGATATGGAGGGTGAGTGAGGGGGAGGAGTCAACGGTGACAGTTATGGCTGACTGAGTAGGTGGGGGTTTTACTTAACAGTAACAGGGAAATTTCTGGGGGAAAGACAATGAGTTCAGTTTTGGACATGTTGAGGTTAAGGTGTCTATGAGAAATATAGCTCCTCCAATATCCAACAGGTTATTGGAGATGTGAACTGGAGCTCTGGAGAAAGGTTAAGATGGTGCAATTAAACCTGAGAATAATTGGTATAGATATGAGAGCTGGAAAGTGGGGATGGGGAGGCCTGGGTGGGGACAAGCTGGCTGTTGTGGCATGTAGGTGGCTTGGGAGAGTGCCTAGAACATGATCCAATGGCTTCCTGGGAAGTGATATAACCTCTCAGTCTCAATTTCATAATCTGTAAATTGGGGATAATAATATTTGGGAAATAGGCATTTATCTAAGCACTTTTTACAGAAATGATCTCCTTGGATCAAGGTGGGTGCTATTATTTTCCGTTTCTACTTCTATCCGCTGTGTCACCAGCTGTTCTATACCTGTATTTACATTCTCGTCCTTGTGTGCCTGTTGTAATGAAGACATTTTGCAAGCCTGGAAGAGGGGCAATCACTCTAGCATCAGAAAGGTTGCCTTGACCATCTGATTTTTGTGAAGTTATACCATCTCAAAGGAGGGAAAAATAACTTCTTTTTTTTTCTTTCTCTTTTTCAGATGCTTAGCACCATCATGGTTGCTGGGATTGGCATTGTAGGAGCCTCATATGCATTTGCCATTTCAGTGGTTGCTATTAATAGGGGGCCCAAATGTTTTGTGGGAAACAATACATGGAAATATTCCTTTCATAATGGGTAAGATCTAGCACTTCAGACATACAGACTCTTCCCACCAGAACCATTATTGATTATATTCTCTGAGACAAAATCTACTTCCCTATTAATGTCGATGTTCTATTTGCTTTCTGAAATATTGGATCTTGTAGCAAAAGAGGTCTTTCCTTATGAATACATCAGTGTGGATCTTACGAGGTGGTGAGCCCAGACTAACTTTAAACAGCTCTGAGCCAAGAGTGATGGCAGACACGGAATCCAGGAGCTGGAGGGCACTCTGGCCATCACCTGGTCCAGTGAGCTCATCTGAAGGTGAAGCTTAGGAAATTTATCTTGGGTTACACAGCAAGGAAGAGGCAAAGCTGGGCTTGGAATAATAGGTCTCCTGACTCGAGGGAGTACTCCTGTACTTCTGCTGTTACACTACGCCGAAGGAGGAAGTGGGAAGAAAGCCAGGGAGAAAGAGAGAGACAGAGAGATTGAGACAGAGACAAAGAAAGACAAAGACAGAGAGAGATAGAGACAGAGAGACAGAGAGAGAGAGACAGGTAGAGCCAAAGAAAAAGAGAGAGACAGAGACAAAGACAAAGAGAGAGAAAGAGAGAGAAGAGAGAAAAAGATAGAGACAAAGGTAGAAAGAGAGAGGAGAAAGAGAAAGCGAGAAAAAGAGAAGAGAGGGGAGAGAAAAAAAGGAGATGAGGGAGAGAGGTGGGGTGAAAGAGAGAGAGAATATCTGATCATCTTGCAGAATCAAGGCTTTTATGAGAACTTAGCCATAAGCAGAATTTTATAAGATCTCAGACCTGATATCTTTTGGGAGAAGGTACAAGAAATAAAGGTAAAGAAGGGCTCAGCAAGAGGCCTTGGGAAAGGAAAATATGAGTGCTTTTGTTACAGCTGTAAGGGTGAAAAGAATGATTGATTCATCCCCACCTCACTTTAAGCAGTGCTATCTGATCAGTTAATTTTAATCACAGACCTTAGACTAAATATGAAAAGTCCTCAGAACTGGAATGATGGTGTCCAGGCATTGTGTTTGGATAGCCCAGGGACACTTGGTCATGCCTCGGGGGTCATCTGCAAATTATCAGTCAAGTTGAGAAGAGATTCATTCAAGAGGCCGGAGCAAAGGAGACATTCCAGCATACTCCTGAGGAGCAAAGGTAAAATCGAGCTATGATACAGAAGGGAGATACCTGCATGGGTCATCAGTTCTATCAATATCTCCGAACAAAAGCCCCAAAAGAAAAGGCTGGTTCTTTGCTGAACTTCATCTCCCTTTGCCTATCTATTCACAGGTGCTACAAAATCATCTGCAATTTCCTTCCCTAAATGTCTCCAGTAAACTGAATTTTGCTTCAACTAAAAAGAGACCAGAGATTAATCAGAGATAGAACTAAATGTAAAGTTAAGCGGAGAGCCCAAACTCTGGCTAAAGGTTAAGCGTTTTCCTGGCTGAGTGTTTGGAGCGACTGCGACTGAATTCATAACCTTTAGTCTAAAATAAACTCCCTGAACCTGAAGAGGAGGGAAACATATGAGATTTAATTCTATTGTCCTTAAGTGGAAAATGAGCTAAGTGTAGTAACTAGGTGTTACACAGCTAATGTTCAGCTTTCCTTAGCATCAACACAAGTCATCCGATCTTAACATGAGAGAAATTTAGGTCATGTCAAATCTTTCAGAGAGAAAGGAAAATTTTCTTCTTATCTGTCTTAGACATGTCTCATTAACAGACCCGAAGTGCCAACAATGGTAAATCTTATGATGGTGAAAGATTAGTGAATATGATAATGAAAATTTATACTAGGGGCAGCTAAGTGGCTCCTGTGGATAGAGCACATGCCCTGGAGTCAGGAGGACCTGAGTTCAAAACTGGCCTCAGACACTTATTAGCCGTGTGACCTTGGGCAAGTCCCTTAACCCCGACTGCCTCTTCCCTGCCCCCCCCGAAGAAAATTTATGTTAGTTTTTGAAAGATTTAATGTTAGCCACATTGATACGAGGCAGCTAGGTGGCTCAGTGGATAGAGTGCTAGGCCTGGAGTCAGGAAGACCTGAGTTCAAATTTGATGTCAGACACTAGCTGTGTGACCCTGGGCAAGTCTTTTAACCCTGATTGCCTTTTCCATGTCCCCCCCACCCCCAAGAAAATGTATATATTAGTTGTTTGAAAGATTAAATGTTAACCACACTAATATGAAGCAGCTAGGTAGTTGGTCGGGTGAATAGAGCACTAGTAGTGCCTGGAGTCAGAAAGACCTGAGTTCAAATTTGACCTCAGATACTTACTAGCTGTGTGACCTTGGGCAAGTCAATTAACCTCTGTTTGCCTTAGCCCATGCCTTAGCCATGGGAGATACCCATGCAGGTATCTCCCTTCTGTATCATAGCTCGATTTTACCTTTGCTCCTCAGGAGTATGCTGGAATGTCTCCTTTGCTCCGGCCTCTTGAATGAATCTCTTCTCAACTTGACTGATAATTTGCAGATGACCCCTGAGGCATGACCAAGTGTCCCTGGGCTATCCAAACACAATGCCTGGACACCATCATTCCTGGGCTATCCAAACACAATGCCTGGACACCATCATTCCAGAGAAGGAAATGGCAAATCACTCCAGCATCTTTGCCAAGAAAACCCTATGGACAGTATGGTCGTGAAGAGTCAGACATGACTGAAGAACAACATTAATATGGCTAATTGATATTCATATTATTTAGTGCAGGTTGAAAATGATTCAAGATAAACAGATCAATAGTATACTGATTTACAGACCCATCTGCCTATTTATTATTTTGTGGGTAGAAACAAACCAATATAAAGAGCAAAAATCTTCCTGTTCCTAAAGGGCACAGTGCCCTCTGACCAACTTGTCTGAGAATGGCGCTCAAATAAGATCCAAAGGATGCTTGGTAAGCATGAACTTTAGAAATGATGGGCCGTGGATCATCAAATCTTACATCCTGATTGTATTGAACCTCTTAGAGCACCCTTTTCATGGTACAGTGGGAAATGCACTGTATTTGCCATCAGAGGACCTGGGTTTAGATTCCAGGTCTGCTACTAACTACCTGTATGATTTTGGACAAATCGCTTAACCTTCTTGGGCCTCAGTTTTCTCATCTGTAAAATAAGTGGTTTTGACTCAATGTCCTTTGAGATCCCTTCCAGCTGCTATGTCTTGGGCTTTGACTCCTATGAATTGTGTGACTCACAACAAGTCATATTAATTTTCCCTATCTCAGTTTCCCTATCTGTACAATAGGGATAATGGCATTTGCTTTGCTTCACAGGGTTGCTGCTATGTAAATGGAGCTAGAAAACATTGGTCAAATCCAGCGGTCCTGACCATGCGTTTTAACTTCTCCAGTGTCCTCGTACATTAAATAAGAGGCTTGGAATGGATGGATCTAGTTCTTTTCCAGCTCCAAATCCCATGACTCTGTTAAGTGTTATAATAATAACCAGTATTTAAATAGCATGTTAAGGTCTGCTTTACAAATGCCATCTTATTTGGTTCATGTAAGTGCTATGAGTACTATAAATCTCTATAATTATCTCTAACTTACATATGAGGAAATGAAGACTCAAGTTAAGTAACCTGGCCACCTGTTGTTCCCTGAGAGAGAACATCTGAGGCTGGGTCTCTCCTGACTCCGGGTTCCTTGCCCTTTCTACCATACCTCACTCCTCTCGTGCCTAACACATTCTTCAAGTGGGATAGAGCTGCTCCCCACTCTGCTCTAGAAGGCAGGAGGCACCCTAACAATGCCCAGAGCAGGTAACTCCTATCCCTACACTACCCTTCTGTCCCAGGGAAATTCAACACTATTTCTTGGTCATAAACCTAATAGAATATTTAACGCTGATAAGTTTATCCAATTTTCTGTCTCGTAGTCCTCCTCCTTCATTTCTTTCTTAATGAGCAAACCATATGAGGTCAGAGGGGGAAAAAAAAACCAAGCACATACTTCTTGACTCGGCAAAGGGACTTTGGGTTGGAATACTCCCCAGGGGAATTGGCTAATATCCCAGTTCTTGGTGTATTCATGAGGAGCTAGCTGGTGCCATAGTACACAGCGTTGGACCTGAAGTCAGGAAGACTTATCTTCCTGATTTCAAATCTGACCTCAGACACGTAATACCTGTGTGACCCTGGACAGGTCACTTCACCCTGTTTGCCTTAGTTTCCTCACCTATAAAATGAACTGAAGAAGGAAATGGCAAACCACTTCAGTATCTTTGCCAAGAAAACCCCAAATGGGGCTATGAAGAGTAGGACACAACTGAAACAACTCAACAACAAATTCGTAAAAGCCCCTTTCATATGCTATTTTAGTTTAACATAAGGTAAAGGAGCCTTTCCCACCCTAAACTCTATCTTTATGTGACAGATGGTCCAGATGCAGAAATCCCTCTTTAACCTGTTCTAAGATTCTTTGGAGCAGGGAAAGATTCTAAGAAAAGGTGTCATTAATTGTATTTCAGCTTTACCTTCTTCAATGGCAGCTATTTAGAAGGTGGAATAAGATGCTAAACTACATGATCCCACTCAAAGTGAAAAAATTAGGATCAAGTCGAATGCTCAGGTGGTTTTTCTGTAGCAGTTTGCCATAACTGCCTTGGAACAGGAAATTGTGCGAAGTCTCACAGAATTTCCCATCCAGCATCGGAGTTTTAGAGCAAGGTTGATGGAAAAAGAAGACAGGGAATGGAGTAGCTGGGCAGGAGGAGAGAAAGGTC